TAAAAACTACCTAATTCCTTTTTGTAAAAAAGCACAAATGCAATAACACTAACCTCTTGTACAATTCGTCTCAAGTCTTCGACCACGAAGTCTGGAGCGAGATTCTCGCGCTGAACAACACGTAAAGCTCGCTCGACGCTGAGCCTGCTGTAGTCTGGGTTAGCAGCAAGGCATTTCACAAATTCCCTCTCCTCACTAGCATTTGACATGCGCACTAACACCGTCAAAATCTTAACCAGTAAGTCACGAGGGTCGAACGAGTACCTGCATGCAACAACAAAAATACATCCTAGGTAATATACAATAATATTTAGTAATATATAATTATGAAATAAAATCTAAGGATATTTCTTCCTATCAAAAAAGTTGGGGGAAGGTAATCTAAAATTGCTCATTTTGGAGATAAAGCGGAAATTTCGCGAAGCCAAGAGCTAGGAGTATCTTAAACCTTAAAAAAAAACCCAGCAAAGAGTTAATGAGAACTGACAAATACTCCTAACATATCTACTAGAAAATGTATAACAGCCAGGAGAGAGAAATACGAATCAGATCTCAAGAGGTTAAGGCCACCATCTGACTCTATCACACAAAAATGAACAAAAGATAATTTCGAGCCAGATCGATCGTTTCGCTTTTAAAGAAATCGTCCCTTGACGATTTCGTCACCAAAAAGTTATTCTAGTAAAGAGGCTCTAGATAAAAGTGAAACACTTGTCTGAATTCCTAAATACAAAACATACACTTTTAAGTTTAATCAACAACTTACCTATCCATGTTTTCGACTTTCAAATCCATACACTTGCGGCCGCACAATGAGTCCAAAAATCCAATTATCTGAGAGTCAAAAAGAGAACACCGGCGGCTGAACTTAAACTCATCGATTTATCGAAACGGGATTCAAAAGGTTGAGGGTAATAAACCGGCAGGTTCTTTTCCATGATATGATGAACTAATCTCCAACAGTGTCTTCAAAATTTTCAATGACCTGCCCCTCACACCTAACCTCTGAAGTAAGGTAAGCCTTTATAAGGGCCCAGGTGGCCCATGGGGCTGGTGCTTAACTCCGGTTTTCTTAGCATGAAGCGGCTAGGAGTATTACTACTCCCCCCTGGATGGGATGCTAGTCCATCGCAGGGTTACCCCCAGCACATTTGCTGGTACCCATTTGTACACCTGGGTGAAGAGAAGCACTGTAAGAGTAAAGTGTCTTGCCTAAGAACACAACACAATTACCCCGGCCAGGGCTCGAACCCGGACCACCCGATCCGGAGTCGAGCGCACTAACCATGAGGCCAACCTCTGAAACTAGGCCATAAATATCAAGGGGGTAAGATTCTAAAGAAAACTGCGATGCTGCGTTGATGGGGAGGGGGGAAGGGTTAATACAAGATCATCTGGTTTTATCAACTGAGTTGAAAATATGAGTTGGCCACCGTTAAGAGTTTCTAAACCTGACGTTTCCAGCGTTAGCCATCCGTTAGAGGAATTGTGGGTTGTGCGTGGTTTACATAAAGAAAAAATGAAGCTACGCTATTGGTGGGAACAAGATAAAGTGAAAAACACGAGGTGATAAGCTGGGAACACATACCGCTGCTGCAGCCCTGAGTGACAATGGAGAACGGGAGAAGCAGCGAGCCACTTTCTCTTCTTCTGTGATCTTCTCCAGAAAAGCTAAGGTTGCATTCGCCTGAAAGATGCAGCTTTGATGTTATTTATTATAACTCCGACGAATTCAACATTTAAATTCACACAACAGCATACCATTTGCATACAGGATTTCGAAACGTGCTCTTCGCTTTTCAAAAAATGTTCCTTCTCCTGTCGCTGATCTACACTTAACTCCTTCCACTTTTCATCTGTGCAAAAGAACAAAACTTTTTTCAAGGTTGGATATCGACTTAGATTTCCGCATTGCATTTTTAAGGAAGGATGCTACTCTAAGAAAAAAAAGGTAGAGAGAAAGAGAAAGATAAACGATTTGGTTTTTTTTTTTTTTTCATTATTTTTATTTCATAAGTTGACTGGGGCGTTGGCTTACTTCGACCACGCTTAATCATCGATTAGAATATTAGTGACGTTTGCTTTCAATCAATAGTGACAAAAATGCTGACATGGGTTTGTGGCTTATTCTACACTTCAGCATTTTCTGTCTACCAGTCAGTCAGTCAGTCTATCTGTTTTCCCCTGTCGGCTTTATTCGGTCTGTCCATCTGTCTGTCCATCTTTCTATCCCAGTGGGCTTTTAGTCTATCAGTCTGTGTGTCTGACTGCGTGTGTGTGTGTGTGAGTCTGTCGCAGTTTGTTTTCCGTTTGTTAGCTCACCGAGGGATAATTTGATCGGTCTGCCGTTCGTTAACCTCTCTTGAAAAGCTACCTACCACACTGCTTGGCACACTGAAGTTTCCTAACATTTGTTAGGCGGAGCAAGCCATCTTTCAAAACGTAAAGAAGAGTGTCAAACACAGCACCTAAGAATGACTGATGAAACAAAAAATAGTCATGAAACTTGACTACAATTTGCGTATTGACAGATATATACAATAACAATATGATCTAGCCTTGTCTGCTTTACCATAGTATAGAAAAAAGAACAAACTTTTACCTGACGAAGGACGCCCATGGCCGATGATTGTCTTACCTGAAAACTTTCCGTTCCACATTCTTGTAAAATCGAAGGTAAACAGTCGGGTCTCTTCCATAGCTTTTCTAATAACTTGACAATTTCAAACCTAAAACAGACAGTAAGGAGAATTGCTGGTGAGATCTGAGAGTGAAAGGTTTAATGATACTTCCATTCAAAACGAAAAAAAAATTTCAGGTCCGCGACAACTAAAAATGTCTAAAATCCTTAAACATCCTGCATAGGTTGAGTATTTTGCGTCCTCTTCTAACGGGACAAGATCGCTTCCTCAGCATTCTCGTGAAGGCAGCTACAATGTTGGATGTGCTGTTGCATTTAAAATCACAGGACAGCAAAAAAGCTGATTATACCTGGCAGAAAATTTGTCAAACTCTTCTTTGTCCACGTCCAGGCCCTCCACGATGTCAACCGAAGAGTAAGTATGAATAAGAGCTGGACCGAGTTTTTCTCTCACCGCTGGGCACATAGCAACGCAGGCCACCATGTCACCTTCGATACCGCTGCAAATCAGAAAATATATAGGCGCTTAAGGTCATCAGAGATCACCGACAAAACCTGATAAATCATTCCTAAACCCTTCCTTACCTTCCCCATGTAGTTGTCTCCAACAGTTTGTTCTTCCTGAAAGGCACAGAAAATTTTCTTGATTACTCAATTGGTAAAGAAAAATGACGATTGTAACTTTCAACAGGCATTTTCACCTTTGTCAAACAGAAAATCTTCCTCAACATACCAGTTAAACTTACAGACAAACCAGAATTAGAATCAAATCAAAATAATTGGGAGTCGGGAGATTCATGATGAGAACTTTATTTATTCTATAAATTACGACACAAAGTCTTGTCATTAATGATTAAAAGAAAAAATTGAAAATCCCGATTTATAGTAGAGATAGAATTATATAACTTTGCTTTTCCTTTCTTTCATCCTGCTAATTAATTCTTCGCAAACACTAATATCAAGGAGATTCAAATTAAGTAACACGAAAACGAAAAAAGAAAAATTGCCCCTTCAATTTACCTTTCAGACATTTTTAACAACAAATGCAGTCATACTTAGAAGTTCATCTTGAGCCCTGGTTGAATGTCTGAACTTTGCAATCGCTTCTATCTCTGTTTTTTGTTTTCCCTTTTTTTTTTTGCTTGTTTCTTTCTTCCTTTCTTGTATGTGAACCTGTTTGTTTAATACTCTCTCCGTCATTTGTTGTGTTAAATTGCTCTTGTTTCTTAAAACATTCTCCTCTGCACAATAATTTAACATAACTACAAAATACCCTTTAGATCTCTGGCATATTTCAGCAAATGACAACAAAGCTGTCACAGTTCTCGTGGCTGCCACTGGTCCGGGCATGATGTCTCTCCGTTCCATAAGAGCACAACAGCAGTCAACGAAAATGCAGATCTAAAACACAAACAATTTAATCATAAATAAGACAAAGTAAAAGTTGCAAAACGTAGTCCTTGAGGCAGGCTCTCAGAAAAATTGTCAAGAAGAAATATTGTGACATGAGTGGTATGGCGAGCAATATGCACTCACTTTGAATCGCATGATATTATAAACAAAATATTAAACTGCGATCATGTATTGTCGTCACTCCTTTCACACGTGTTCTTACACGAACGTAACTCTTCTTTAATGAAAAAGCACATTTGTTCTCTTAACGGGCATCGTCTCTAGCACCTCTTGCACACGTTCTCTTGCCCGCGTATCTCCCCTTAAGTATGCACTCGTCTCTCTTTTCGTAACGCACGCGTATCTCCTCTTCAGTACGCAAACGTGTCTCTTTTCGAAGTGCACGCCTCTACTCAGTCAAGCATTCAAGTACCTTCCAGTACACGCGAATTCGCGCTTTCCACTCTACTCGAACTTGCTCATCCCTTCTCTAATATGTGCCTATTTCCTCTCTCACACACGGTGATCTCTTCGCTATTGTAAGCGCAATTCTTCTCACGCAATCTCGGATGGACAGCTCTTCTCCAGTAAGCGCGTCTAAAAATTGAGGGCTTAAATGTGTTCCCTGCTAGTTGACTACTGAACCAAAGTATGGTGAATTAAAACCAATTAAATACTCACGTCCAACCCCCTAAGAGCGCCAGGTTTATGTGCGGCGACGAAACTAAACCAAGAACACATGTCTTTGACGTAGAACTCGGGAATATTCACAAGTATCTCTCGCTGCCTGACTCTGATTTCGTTTTCAGACAAACCCTAAAGCAACAAAATCAATAAGATTAGTTGGTAATACAACGCCTTTACCAAGTTCTCTCTCCTCCAATTCCACAATAAAACACCAAATATTATTTTAATACTACATTTATACAGACCGCTTATGTTTCCTTTTTGTTTCTCTTTCCTTCCTGAGTACAGACCGTCTCCTACATGTAAAACCCCTCATCCCTCTCCTAAACCCCGTATGAACTTTTTACCTGATACTCAGAAGCACAGCTGTCAAGAAGATGAAGAAGCCAGGCGGCGCTTGTGATGTAAAACTCTGAACACAGCCTCATGAAGTGGTCGTCCTCCAGACAAGTATTCCATTGAAGTACGAATAGCTATAAACAGGACATAACACTGAGTGGTTCACATGACAAATTGCTTAAACGTGAAAGCAGCTTACATCGAAGAGCAATTTTGATTGATTAAGTCTGAATTCACCCGTATCATGGCGAAAGCTTTCTTCTAATAGAAGGTCAGGGACAAAAGAACTACTTGGGGTCCTGCGCTGGCGCAAGACCATTTTAAACCCCAATTCAACAAGGAGATCAGGAAATTGTTGTTTGCTCTTGAAAGATCTTTGCTCGAACTGATCAGATATATTTGCTTACATGATGTACACTCACCACAAGCATTTTTTTCGTTTCCGCTTCAAAAGAGCTGCCCTCCTTCATTTCAGATAACATCGTGTACTGTCTGGAATTTTAGGAATAAAGAAACGTACCGATTTTGAAACGAAGAAATTTATTACCGAGATTAAGAGAACGTATGAATGGGTAGTCTGTGATGCACTGAGGGAGAAAAGTCGGTACACGCGAAATTAGGCGCTAAAACTTGGCGTAACTGGCCATGGAGAGAGCCCAACACAATAATGGGAAAAACAACCGATCTCTTTCGCCAAATTTCAATTATTGTAATTTTTTTTGTTGTTGCTGATCTTTACTTTTTGTTTTTGTTTATTTTTCCTTGGGCTCTTTTCAAACGCTCGCGCACGTTTTCATCATGGAGATATTTGTGTAACGTAGCTACACTAAAAATTTGAGCAAATTGAGATATTAACTCTCTAACTCCCGAGATCTGATTGTTAATTCTCCCCTCTAGCTGCTAAACATTGCCTTGTAAATTAGTTATGAGAAGTTGGTGTAAGATCAAGATAACAACTACTACTTGATAAGTTTAAATATTCTCATTTCCTGTTTGCTGGATAATAAGGACATGATTGGGAGAAGTCTCATGTTGATCACTTCTAGAAGTTACAGGGTGAACCCAAAGGAGGCCCATCTGCTTGTTCATCATCGAGATAGGAGCTATCGCCTTGGCAACTTCACAAAGGGTTCAGTTGCTTTTCAAAAACAGGATTGTAACAGACTGAGTTTTTAAAATATATGAATAAGTACTGAGTATGTCTAACCTCATGATTCTGTTATAGTGTTGAATGGTAGTGGTGAGTCCGATATGAAGCGCGCGGTGCGTGATGTGAAACATCTCTGTTATCAGTTTGAACTGACCTACAAAGATAACATCACATGCAACGTCGAGTGTCAAACAAGAGGAACAGTAATACAGTAACTGGTTTGACCTCGGGAACAAAAGATCGACGAACAGACAATCAGACGACCATAGTCCTGCGTATCCTACGTGTGGCCGTACCATCCCCCCCCCCCAAAAAAAAGGTGAAACGGAAGCGAGGCTATACTTAGGCTAAGTCCTATGAAGGACTGTTGCCCATAACAGTGACTGTCGTCTTGAGAACTTAAGCGGGAGTCTGCATCGGAGTCACGTGAAGAGCTGTTCGTCAATCACTTAAAGGAAAACTGGCTCGCGAAAACTGATTGACACTTTTTGCAGCGGGATGGGAGGCAAGGTTACAAAGACAGACAAAGATAAAATAGAACGCGTGGTGGAACAGTTTTACTAAGACTCGCCATTTTAGGAAATGCGACATTGTTTGGAGCAGATTAAATGAAACTAAAAAAAAACAAAAGAAACGAAAAGATAAAATCACTGATCATTTAGCAACGATAAAATATGCATGCACATAAGGAGAAGGAAAATAATTACCTTTAAGGTCTCCTGAGGGCAAAAGCACACTACGGAGATCCGTTCTGTCCTCATTCTCTGTTCCTGCATGAAAAAAAAAAAACAACATATGCAACCTGTATTAATTAGAAAATACTTAAAGACGGTTACATGAGCACATTACAAGATGACAGTTGATGAAATTTAGTAAGTCGAACAAAAGATTAGATTTTCTACACGAATAACCAGCTGAACAATGAGCGATTTAAAGTAAAAGGTGTCCAACGATTTTTTTGAAACTTTCCTTGATTGTTCCTACCATCTCTGTATCAAGATTGGTTTAGAAATTGACGGTTGGTCGAGAAAGCATGTGAGACCCCCCGCAACTCTCTCGACCTTTCAGATGCATGTTAACCATTGGCGACTGGGCTTATTTCTATTTACCTAGCCTAAGGTTTACTTTCTATGAGTTCTCATTGGCACCTTGTGACGTTCACCCTTTTGTCTGTCATGACTGGTCGACGTTCTTGCTCTGGTTTTTTGTTGCATGAAAGTCAGTCAAAAGGCCCCCGAGAGACACAAAAATTAACGCGAGGAAAGAAAAACTGACCCTAATTCAGATTCGCAACACGAAGTAATCTCCAAAAAAGTGTCAAACATTTACTCTAACGATATCAATCTTAGGCGCAAGTTTCCCGAACTAATGGTCTGCCGAAACTGTTACTTACCAATGTGTCCACCAGCCAGCGTTCGCTCGTTCGTGAATCTTAAACGGCAAGCTTTGGAGGTGCAGTAAAGCGCTTCAATCTGTTTGTATTTATCTTTCCCTTTGGTCAGGAGGAACGAATCACACATCTGAAGAGCCACTGAGCAAAGATTCACCATAAAACCTACCACCAAGAGAAACACAAGTTCTGAAAGTTACCGTAACTTATTACAGATGTTTCGTTACCGTAAAGCCTCTTGCAAAACTATTAAAATAATCGAGAATTCTTTCCTTCACAAATCCTCTTGTCACCATGGAGACTCGTGGATTAAAAACTCGTTAGGACAAAATTTTCTATTGCGAATGGAGAAATACTTTATAATGGGAACTGTCGAGAGTTCATGAGAAATTATTTGATAACAAGCGTCGTTCATAGCATTTCTACTAATACAAATTTGTTTTCACTCTATCTTACCATCGTTGGCCACTGTTGCCTTCATCAAGTTATCTCTAGGCAAGTTTGCTGACAGTCTCAGATCATTGAGTGAGACAACCCCGGCCAGCCATGCTATTGCGCTGAAAGACAAATACATATATCCTTAAAGTTTAATTTACTTTTCCTCTGATACTCACGAGAATGGATAGGGGTGCCGAAGTCATTTAAATCTAAAGATGGCAAATCCTATCTTAACCGTTCCAAAACACACCGAAACATGATGATTTTTACAGTTGCAGTTACAGTTAGCGCTTTTTTCTGTTCTTAATGCGCGGGACTGAGTTTTAAGTTGCATATATAGCACGGCAAAGTTAAGTCCATACTGGAGCCTATTGGCCCACCCAGCCCGCGGTGCTTATCTCGGTTTCCATGTAGCGACTAAGAGTATTACTACTCCCTCCTGTATGGGATGCCAGTCCATCGCAAGGTTACCCCTAAGCATTTCATCGGGCTTCCCTGAAAATTCGCCAGAAGCCATTTATACTCCCGGCTGGAGAGAGAGGCACTGTGAGAGGAAAGTGTCGTGCCCAAGAACACAAAACATTGACACGGCCAGATCTCGAACCCAGACCTCTTGACCCAAAGTCCTATGCACCGACCGTTTGGCGACTGTGTCATCCGTATAATGCAGACGATAGTGCAAACAACGCCCCAACACTTAAGGCGTTGACAACATGCTATAGAATACAAATCGTACCCGGTTACGCACGAGGAGTAAGACTTAGATTTCCCCTTACGCTAATTATTTTCTGTAAGGCCAAAAATTGCAAGTGGAAAGCGCCATAACAGAGTACCAGTATGTATATTCTCCATACTGCTTTCCATTCACTTTCTAAGGTACTGACACAGATAATTTTTTCAACCATTACGATCTTCGTTATTTGGTGATCATTTCCTTTATTCGTAAGACTTTAATGTGTGATGCAGGGGGAACTATGTAAGGAGAAATTAGATGCTACTCACTCTAGGGGTCAAAAGGTAAATGAAAATACCTGTCTCGATTATCAGTTTTCAGCAGCTTCACAAGAGCCTTGTAAACAACATTCTGGCAAGAATGAATGCCATCCATGATTTGAGACTACAAGTGAAAGGTAAACTATTGTTATGTAATGAACGATTTCACAAAGGGGAAAAAAGAAATAGCTGATTCCCTGATGTAAGAACATTGCAGTCTGCCCTCATTCATCTTTTTTCTCACCCACAATATGAAATGCATAAAAATGAAATCATCTCTAATGGGGTTGCAAACCATCCCATGGTGTTATCTGAGCCGAAAAAATATTACGTGAGTCAAACTCTCTCCTGCCAGTGAGATGTTGTATGAAGAATTTGATGGAAATAAAGCAAATAAAATAAAGTGCACTTCAAGAAAATTTCAAAAGAAAATTGTGTTAACTTTGAGGCTACATCTAATAAATAGAGAAAATTTCACATGGCGGTCCATATCACAGCTTAAGGAAACTTCACGTTACTTACTTGAAGTTGATCAACGTCGCTACGGAAGGCCTGCGGGAAGTGAGGCAGCTCGACAAAACAAATGGAGGAACGCGACTTCTTGTCTATTTTAATATCCATTGTAGAGGTTGCCAAGAAGGACGAGAACAGCGATTTGTGTTGGAAGAAGACACCCTGGGCAAAACAGACATTCATTGAATATTTAATATCAAGTACACAAACAAGGGAGTGTAAACAACTTTCGTGTTTTTTTAATCAACAAAATTGTTACCAGCTCGTTTATTCCAGTGTCCAGCTCTCTCTCAAGAGCTTCAGCCAGGAAGTCACCCATAACAGGCTAAAAGCCAAAACAACAGAATGCAAAAGAAATCGAATTAGTCAACGTTCTAGAACAGTCAGTTTCCAAAAACCAAAGTGATCACTACAACCAATCGGAGTGAAGGTTGACATCATCATCAGCCAACTAGAAGTCAAAGCAAAAACGGACATATTACATGAAAAGCGTGAAAACGTGAGGCCTCCAAATCTGGATTGGTTTTAGTTTTGGCATGACAGAGCGAAGTTAAGCAAAACAACTGAATAAAGGGGTAAGTTTCTAAAGAAACTGTGGTGCTGCGTCGGTGGGAGAGTATAGCAGTTAATTTAGTGCTAACAACTGGGTTGAAAACGTAAATTAGCCACCGTAAAGAGTAAAAAAACTTTACGGTGGCTAATTTACGTTTTCAACCCAGTTGTTAACACTAATTTACCTAAGCAAAACAACAGCAATCAGGGATTACTCTCAACGCTCACTTAGTAACTGCTCCAACTAGGTGCGTGTTTGAATATTTATGCCTTACCAAAGAAAGGAGGGTTTCCAATCCTCTGAAAATACATTTGCACTCCAGTGTGATCTCATTTATCCTATATGGTGAAATAAAAAGAAGTTTGATAAGATTTTTCATAATTCAGATGCTGACAGTACTTACTGAAACGTCTCTGTAACATGTCTGGCTTTTTCTTGCACCTAAATTTTTCGGGTTTTTTATGCCAATCAAAGCAATAATTGTCCAACATACCTTTTCACTCTTTCAACTTGCTTCCCTCCGACTGTTATCTACGGATAAAACGTACGAACATCAATATTTTAACTGATACACAGCAAAATGTATATTGACTGAAATGTAGTGACGATAAACATGTAACCGTCTCACTCCAAGATCTTGTTAGTAATTCTCCTTACTGTCTGCCATACAATTCTTATGATGTTAGTTCGGAGAATTTGATATTGGATCAACTAATAATCCCTAAAGAAATTTTGTCTTTGTTCTCATTACCTCTCTGCTTCATATTGTATCAATATTGTAAGGAGAAATTCTCTCTCGGTCATTCATGGGAGAACCACAGTTACAGACGAAATTAAAGCTGAATGAGAAGCCAGAGAGAGGGAAACCTAAAACTCATTACAAGCATGAATCAGAATTTGTATCATTTCCAAGTTATAAAGTTCCATTACTTTCCAAGACCTTTCCAAAGACCCTTTTTAAGTTTTCTATGACCTTCATTTAAGAATTTATGTTTCAAAATAGCCTGTATTTCTTACTCTTTTCTTCTCAGAAAAATTAACCAGTAGTCATGTTCCATGAACTTTCATGGCCAACACTCAAATTCCAAGACTATTCAGGCCTGGAGCATGACATAAGGCATAAAATTTCAAGACCACCAAACCTTGAGAATGCAAACCAAAAGCAGGAGGTGGAATTTCTACAGAATTAGGAAGGTGCTTACCATGGAAATTTTAAGTATACTTTTGTACATCACATTAAAGGGAGGGTAAGTCTGCTGCCCAGTCCACCTACATGTACTTTCCTAGTTTGCAGGTTTTTCAGATAGAGCTAGGGTATATAACGTGAGCTAAATTTATCAACTTGACAAGGAAATCCCCTCCTGAAATTGCATTATACTTTGCCTAAAACACTATTTGTCTATAATACCATTTCAACAAATGTCTCTTTCACTTCTGGGTCCTCTTTGCCTTTTTCCAGCAGTCTGTTGAGAAGTTCTACAGAAACTGTCACTCCATCGCTTGACCAGCCTCCAAGACTCGACAGGAAATACTGGGATGGACCCTGGTAAAAGAAAATTATATTTTACACCATCACATTGCTCTTGTACCCCACAAGCCTGCATTAGGTGAAAATATCATGGCTCTGAAGGAAAGATGGGTGCAAACATCCAAACCAACTCATCCAAGAAGAAACATAATTATCTTTTACAATATTAAGTACAGTGTATATTTATAGAATGTACCTCTGATTGGCCTGATTGGACAAAATCTGCCCACAAGTCATCTTCAACTGCTGTAGGACTTGCAGCAGCTGCAATTTAAAAGAACCATTTGTAACTAACATGAGACATATATAAGATGGTAAGTCACCCATAAGCCATGAAACCATGGTTCAGATTTTACCAACATCAAATCCATCATCTTGGATACAGTGAATCGAGGGGCAAAAAGTTTGAGAGTATGTTACAACTCACCATGGACAAGATGCTTCAAAATAGTATTTACACAGGGCTCCATAACAGCTGAAGCCACTTCCTTCCAAATCTTTTCTCCATCTTGAATCAATTTGAAGTTCTTTGCAGGCAGCTGAGAGCAGCGATCAAAGCACTGAATGGCAAACTTCATTGGGTCCTACAAAGAAAATTAAATGAGCACATTTTGAATCA